TCTGCAAATACAGTTTTGCCGATAGTTTCGTTGCTGGGCAGGGTATGGTTCACAAAATACGTTGGAAATGGTTTCGCCAACAGACAAACTGTCGGGAAAGGTTCTAACTGTCGGCGTAGGTACACCGTTTGGCTACACAAAAAGTGTCGGGGATTCTGTTAACTGTCGGCAAAAGTTTCACCGACGGCTTCTAGCGCGACTGTTTCCAAACTGTCGGCAAAACTTTTCGCAGAGGTTATATGTCGGAAAAAGGTGCCCTTTGCCCACTATAGAAAGTGTCAGCAAAGGTATGTTGTGTTATAGTGCGAGTTGACTTCTATGAAATGAATTCTCAGAGTCTAACACCTACAACTGCCATACACAACACAGGTTTCAGTCCAAGAAGTAACGCTGTTGTAGTCATATAAAACTGGATCATCCAGACATAACTGACATATACAGAAGAAGATTATGAAGACATCTCATTGTTAACGATAATATCTGCGGAAATATGACTAAGAAAAGGGCCAGAACCTGTCATCAAACAAGATAATAGCAGACTCATCAATACCACGTATATATGAAGCATATATGCTGCATAAGTTCATAGAAAAGTTACACGGTCGGACGTGCCACAGTGGCTGTGTATAACAAAAATTAATTAATCGCATTGTTGATTCCAAAGCTTCTACACATCAAACCACAACCAGCACACAGGACGTACTGGTCCTGAATTATATGCAAAAGCTGATGAGAGGGACACCTGGCAATGAGAGGAGCTGCGGGATCCGGCTGTGGCAGAGGGGGAGAGAGGTGCAGGGCATGGGTAGCTTCGTCTTTTCCAATGCGCCTCCACGCTGGCACCATGACTTGGCATGCCATGCACGCAAAAACGCCCGTTTTTTGCAATACTTGTAAGATTTTTTCTCTCTCCAGTGACAATGTATGGGCAACCGTAAAAGTGATATTTAGATGTGTGGCTTTTGTAAGGGAACGTACGGCATGGGCAGCTTTGTCTTTTCCAATGCGCCTCCACGCTGGCACCATGACTTGCACGCCACGCACGCAAAAACGCCCGTTTTTGGCAATACTTGTAAGATTTCTTCTCTCTCCAGTGGCAATTATGTAAGGGCAACCGTAAGAGTGATATTTAGATGTGTGGCTTTTGTAACGGCACATACAACGCCCGTCTCCAAGACGCGAATTATGCAAAACAGTCCTCGGCTTCGCTCAGAGACGCTCGCCCCGTCGCCTCGCGAGACGACGGCAAGGGCCCCTGCTCCTAGGTGGAATCAACGAGGGCAGCAGCGTTGTACGGCTTCGTTTTCACGAGTCGACCCTGCGCTCGGATACTGCGCAGGCGCTCGCGTGCTCTAGTTTTGGTGCTCGCGGGATTTCTTTGGTAGACGGTGACCGTGCTCTAGTTTTGGTGCTGACAAGATCCAGCACCTTCCTCGCGGCGCCGCCGCCGCCGCCGCCCGCTGCCAGAGATGCCAAGCCCGACGATCCTGAGCGCCACCGATGGTGCCCGAGCCTTCATCGCGAGATCCACAGCACCGTCGTTGTGCCGCTGCCGGAGATGCGAAGCCCGACGATCCCGAGGCTGGACGCAACCTCGCCAGTGCCGGTGGACACTGACATCGCGGCGAGCTCGGCCTCTGGCCCGAGCACTAGGACCTCTACGGCAAGAATACGTTCTTAATTCAGTAGTCTAATGAAGGAAACCTTAGTATTGCGTAGACTCCATTGCCAACACTGATGAGTTCTTGAAGGAGGTAACTAATGATTCCTACATTCCAAGATAGTACTTGTATGCTTGTCTGCCTTTCTGAATACTGCATGCTACCACTTTCTCAGTTCTGAAAACTACATTCAAGTTTCAAGTTTGCAGGCTTGCCTATTAATATAGTCATATGCAGCTTCCCTATTCACTGAACGATGATGTGTAGTTGAAATTGACCAGCATCTAAATATTAGTACAATGAGGTTGCACTAAATTGATGGCATTTGTATGAAGCTTCAGCAGTCTTTGGGGCTAATGATAGCTGTGTGGAATGGTAGCTGTTTTTGACTAATACATGGAAAACATTGTCACCATGCTGTTTTCATAATGTGAAATGCTAGCTGTTTTTGGCTAACCCGGTGCTATGAGGATGCTGTGTAGATATTTCTAGTGAAATTTTTATTGAAGTCAAATCTGTAGCAGTTGCCTGCGCTATGGAAAGAAAAAAAATAGACAAAGATGTTTCAATTATATATAATATGATATATTGATGATTTTAAAAAAATTATAATCATGTTCATCTTACTTAAGCTTAATCCATTTTTTATCAATTAGCAACACAATGGTGTACAAAATAGTGTTCACAATTCATCTAGGCCACATGCGTAGCATTAAATCGTGTGTAGTAAAACAGACAGCCCATTGTACGACCTGTCTTTTTAGCTGTCTTTATGTTGGATTCGAAGTCCATGGAGACGACCCCTGTGTGTGGGTTGAACGTGCCCTTAATAGCAAAAATGTAAAAGACCCATATTTTTGGGTCAAATAGCTTAGTTTATTTCTTCCCCTAGATTGGATGAGTTATGTAGCACATCGTAATTCATTTGGCTTGACTCAACGACCAAAAATATATGGGCTTGGATCTCTATAGACAAAGTCAATTGTGTGATCTTGGTAAGAAACTATAACACTTGTATATACTTGTGCAGGAAGATGTGGACACAAACCAAATGCACCTAGCCAATTAAATAATGGCAAACATATTAATACAAATATTCATAGACTTGGTGAAAGGAATCTTGTACAGGGGGTTAAATCTAAATACAAAACGGCATGACTAGCGCCTGGACGTCCGGATGGACGCCCATGGCTGCTCTGTTTCCCGCGCGTAGCGAGCGGATGACACGAACCTTAGCTTGCTGTGGGGCCACCACGTAGGCATCGTTCTGTCATCAACCGACCCGTGGCCACCACCTCAGCGGGTGTTCATGCGCTCGTCGGGTAGGGTTTCCCCGCCGAGCATGAACTGTCGCGGTGAGATGGTGGGAAGGGAAGGGAAGGGAGGGGAGGGAGAGGAGAGGAGAGGGAGAGGTGCGGTGCGCGAGGTAGGAGACGTAGCCCTGCAGCAGGCTGCTGTCCGTTAGCCACCGGCGCCATTGCAACATGTGCAACACCCAATCTACTTCTAAAACAACCAGATGAAACATTTGCAACATACATCTGAAGACAGATGAAACACATGAACCATGCATCTGAAACACTTGCAAAAACACATGAAAAACACTTGAAAAGCCATTGCAAAATATATGCAACATCCAGATAAAACACTTGCAACATATGTGTAAAACATATCCAACATCTAAATAGACACATTTCCAACATAGGTCTGAAAAACAGATGAAACATTTGGAACAAACGGTTGCAATATATGTGTATAGCCTTTGCAACATTCTGATCTACTTTTGCACAACCATATGAAACACTTGCAACATACCTCTAAAACATCAGAAACACCTAAAACATATGCTTGCAACATGCGTTGGTCAGGGGGACGTCAACGGCCCAGCATACACCCAGGCGCAGGCACAAGCCTCCCCTTCCTATCGATTGGCGAGGTGGATGGGGCGTAGGCGCAGGCCTCCCAAGGCCTCCCCAGGCGTAGGCACATGCCTCCGCTACCTCCCCTTTTGCAGCGTGCGAGGTGGATGGGCGCGGAGCAACGCGGGACGGGAGCGTGGGTCGGTGTCGTCGCGCTAGAGATAAGGCCGCGAAGGGCGGGTGCTCTGCCTGCGGCGAGCGGCCCCGTGCTGGAGAAGGCGAGTGGCACTGTCTTTTTTTGTGGAGAAATGGACCGAAGGAGCGAGGCGGAGTGCGGGCACGCGACGTTCGTCCTATCATTATCGAATACAAAATGCTAGTTGAAGTATTGCGCTATAAATAACTTGTATAAACTATAAACATGCCCTAAACCATTTATATTTGTAAATCATATTCTTTCTTGCTATCAGTTTCCAGCTATCCAAGTGCCTACCTATATATATCTACTCATGAAGCTCCAAATACGTGTCATCTTAAGGGCGTGACAGCAATGGGCATACATCATAGGTAGATATATATAAGGGTGCCTAGGAGCAAGAAACCGTGAAAATGTGGTTTCGCAATGATTTTGATTCTTCCATCCAAATGGTAAGGTGACTTTGATTCATCGTCCAAAACGTTTTCTAAGAGAATCTAGATCCGAAATGTTTCTGGAAGAATTTGAAGCCCTACCAAACGGGCCCTAAATATATAGAACATGAGTGGCACTTGTGGAGCGACAGTACGTGGTTGTACATTGTGAGTTTAGAGCCTAGTTGCAGAGTAGCGCATCAGTCTAGAGTTATGATGAGGCAGTGCAAGTTGAGGTCCCAATCTAACTAGTCACTCAATGAGGGTCGCACCGCCTCAGTGATGGTGGATTGGTTTAGAGCTGTGATGCAAATTGAGGTCCCAATCTAAACCGGTCACTGAGGCAGTGAACCCCATCTTTACGAAGTTCACCTACGTCAATTGTTAATGCTCAGAAATTGCTATATTTTGCCCAGTATATAGTTCAAACAAACTCACAATTTCTTCCTTCACTATAAAAGTTCAAACTTATCAAACTATAATCATCTGTTTCGTCTCTGTGCCTCTTGATCAAATTGTGGCAAAGATTCAGCTAAATACTAGCTAAACATGAATATTTTGACGGGTTAAATGAAGTCTGGTCCGAAATTTCTGACTCTTTGAATCGTGTAACCCTGTTCGAAGCATCAAATGCGTAGTCCCCATTTCCCTCGTCCCTCCAACCTTCCCTGAACCAACCCTCCACCCAACACAATGCAATGCAACCTTCCCTGTACCATGACAATGCAACGCAACACACTCTGTACACAAGCTAGCTACAAACCTACACCACCTACACCTAGCTTATCAACATCGCAAGGATGCATGAAAAGGCTTAACGATCGCATGCATGGATGCATGTTCAGCAGCCATGCCCAAGCCAAGATCCTTGCTTCTCCACCTCCTCCTAATCGCCAGCTGCATTGCCAATGCCGCCGGCGCCGATGATGCCCCGTCGCAGGAGCCAGGAGCCCACCACACCGTCCTCGTCGTTCCAGGAAGAATGGCAGCTCCTCCATGCGAGCATCGGCGTCTCGGCGATGCACATGCTGCTGCTGCCGGGGACTTCGTCCTGATGTTCGACCGCACCGACACGGGGCCCTCCAACATCTCGCTGGCCGCGCTGGCGCCGTGCGCGGCAACCGCCGACCGCACGGCTCACTCGGTGCTCCTGGACCTCCGCTCCAACGTGCTGCACCCGTACCCGCTGGCCACCAACCCGTGGTGCTCCTCGGGGGCGCTGCTCCCCAACGGCACGCTCCTCCAGACCGGCGGCTTCTCCAACGGCGACCGCGTCGCGCGGCTCTTCTCCCCGGCCACGGGCTGGGTCGAGCTCCCGTCGTTCCTCGCCGCGCGGCGGTGGTACGCCACCGACATGATCCTCCCCGACGGCTGCGTGCTCAGTCCAACCTCGAGTACTTCCCGCACGCCGATGACGTGGCGCCGGCGCCGGCGCTGACGTTCTTTCCGTTTATGGACGATACGACGGAGCCCGACGCCGAGAACAACCTGTACCCTTTCGGCCGTTCCTCCACCTCCTCCCTGACGGCACTGTCTTTGTCTTTGCCAATGACCGTGCCGTCGACTTCGACCCATATAACCGTGTGCTCTGCTCCGATGGCTCCCAGCCGTCCCATGCGGCGTGCCGAGGAACTACCCGTCATCTGGCTCATCCGGCTTTGCCCAGACGCGCATATGAGTTTCCTAGTTTGGCCGTACGATTTCTTAGAACAAATGGACGAAAACATAAAAAGTGTTACCTTCTGAATCAAAGGCCTGAACTGAAACGGTGCTCCACGTTCACATGTGAGGCGTCACGCATCAAAAGGTAGAGATGCACGCCTTCCAGTTCTTCCCAGCTGGAAAAACTGGCTCTAATTACCTTCTTAGTTTAATTTGTGCAACGGCCCTATCAACCTGAAGGGTACCGGATCCTCGGCCATCCTTTCCTTTTTCCTAACGGCGTTGCCTACTTCTTGCGTTTCTCAGGGCAATAGGGCATCTCTAGTTAGTTGTACTCCTACAGCATTTTGCTCTGCATTGCACGGCCTAAAGCAACATGCTTCAGATGGTCAAAAGCACATGACCAGCTTGTATATATTCCTTGCTTCTCGCTGCAACATATGCTTTGCCGTTTCCAATTCGAGTGGACAAAAGCAAAAGCCCTCACACGACATCCGGATGGATCGCTGCAACATGCTTCCAACGCCGCGGCCTAAAGCAAAAGCACTCAGGATACATTCCTTCCTGGGCGCGCAGCTAACGTGACCCGTCAGAAAATGTATCCCTTGCTTGCTTCCAGGTGGATACAAGCGTCCTCTCCCCTCCGTCGTAGGCAGTGTGTGTATAAAGCATGCAGGCCTCCTCGGCTTCTACGCGTCTCTCTATCCCCATCATCTCGCATTCATTCATTCATTCATTCATTCATGTCACACACATCACTGTTCTGCTGATCGATCCGTCCACTCTCTTCACCGGGCGCGAGAGCCTCGGATCGGAAGGAGCCAGCTGCGATCTTACGAATTCGTCGATCGTCTTGCAGTCCTGCTCGGTAACTGTAAGCACTTCTGCTCGATCTGTCTGTTTTTCTTTTATTTGAAATAATGAAAAAGAATGACCCTCCCTTAGAGGTCGTATTCAGCCAGCCAACCACTGACGAATAATAAGCCATTCGTTTTTGCAGAGTTGATTGCATCCATTCGTTGTGATTCAAACCCAACTTTCATTTGTTGTTTGGCGAAGATACCCATCATCGTGGTCTTGATCGGTAACTGTGTAAGCAGTAAGCACCCAATATTGATTCAGCACTTCTCCTCGAGCTGTTTCTTTTTCTTTTATTTCAAATATTGACCCTCCCTAGAGATCGCATTGAACGAACCACTGACGAATAAGCCATTCTTATTTGCAGAGCTGATTGCAGCCATTCGTTTTGATTCAAACCCCATCTTTAACTTCTTCCGTATTTGTTCGGCGAAGATACCCATCATCGTGGTTTCCAGTTATACAAAAATTGTATGTCGCCCCCTTCCTCTCTTCCGTTCTGGTTTGCTTCATTCATCTGCTTCATCTGTTGATCCAATCATCCCCACTATCGATCTATTCTCAGGGCGCACAGGTCCGATCGGTGCCAGGTGACAGCTGCCAGCGAGCGAGCTCGTCGATCATCTTGTTCTGTAATTGTAAGCACTCCATATTCAGCACTTGTCGATCTGTTTCTTTTAAAAAATAATAATCTTAACTAGTCCCTAGAGGTCGCATTGGACCAGCCACCGATCATTTTTTTAGATATAAAGGGCCGATCATAAGCTATTCGTAAGTTCAGAGTTGATTGCAACCATCTGTTGTATGGTTTCCAGTTATACAAAAGTTCCATGTTGTCCCCATCTCTGTTCCCTTCTGGTGTGGTTGCTTCATCTGTTGATATTTATAGGGATTTTTGTCCCCCGGACACTCAGAAAGAGTGGATTTGCGCACAGCACATTGTACTCAATGAATTAGTCACAAACACGTTGCGAAAACATAAGTTTTGTCCATGACACACCATGCCCAGTCAAAGGACCATATTGCCCTTGACACCCTCTTACCTTCGACCCATTTCCATATTGGACCATGTTTGTGGGTAAAACCGGCAATGATATCACTGCCAGTTTGAGCCATGAACCAGCAATGATATTTGATCATCACTGCGGTTTTTTGCTAAAAGCACCAGTAATACTATCACTACCGGTTCATGGCTTGATTCGGTAGTGATATAAACTTAGTAACTTTCTCATATAATGTCTGATGAAGACTATACCAAAGTTATAGTACTCGACAAGATCTAAAACTTTTTAGTACAAACTTTTTTGATTTGAGATCATTTGAATGTCTAAATATACACTAGAAGATTTCATAGAGTTAATATCAAAGGAGTCCATATGCTCTATAGTCACAAGTGAGTGTGTAGTGGTAGTTAAGGATTTCAGATGAAGAAACGACCAAAACAAAAGTTGTAGACCTTGAAAAGTTATGCAACTTTGTAGATCAAAACTTTTTTATTTAAAGTCGTTATGATGTCTCTCTATTTGGTTTGCAAGATTTCATAGAAGTTAATACCAAAGCAATCCATATGTTCTATAGTCACAAGTGGGTGTGTAGTTGTAGTTAAGCATATCGGATGGAGAAGCGACCAAAACAAAAGTTGTAGATCTCGAAGAGCTATGCAACTTGGTAGTTGACAACGTTTTCATTTGAAATCATCTATTCAACAAAAAATATGTTTAATTTCTGAAATTCAAAATTCAAACTTTTAAATGGCCTCGGATGGAGAAAATCCCAAAACAAAAGTTGTAGATCTTGAAAAGTTGTGCACCTTTGTAGTTGACAACTTTTTCATTTGAAATCATCTGTCCAAGGAAAATTATGGTTGAATTTCCTCACATCTAAAATTGAAATTCTTTATTTGAATTCATTTCATATCCCAAATACTCATTTCAAAACCATATGACATAAAATGGAGAGGACGAATATCCCAAAAGAACACAAACGTCTTATGGTCTCAAAAAACACAAACATCTTACAGGTGGAGTGGTTAGGGGAAAAATACGTGAAGCCAGAGGTAGGGATTTCGAGCGCTAGAAGTTGATGATGGACAAATTGCAGTAGCCAACGACGGAGCTAGAAACTTCTAGAGTCTCTCTTTGGTACAAACAAAAAAATATCATTGCACTTCGCTGATAGGCCTGGGTGGCCCCTTGTTGTTGCTGGACGGTGGCATCTGTATTACTGCTCAGCGGCAAAGGGGAGATCTAGTGTGCCTGGTCGAAGCCAACAACATAATTGTTGGCCACCAGAGGGGGAAAAGGAGATTAGGGACAGAGAAATAAAACGCATGCAAAGGGAATGGAGAGTGGGCCTGTGGGCTAGCTAGTCATTTTATTTGCTTGGGTGTGCTCGAGACACAAAACACAAAATCATGGTGTGCTACAAACTTCCTTTTATTGTGGACAAAAATCCCTATATATAAACATTCTCCTCTACCTTGTGGTTGTGTGTGTGTGTGTGTTTATATTTGAAGCTGTTCAGAGTAAAACAAAAAAATTCTCTGCCACTACCAGCTCAGTTAACTAGGTGGCCATCCCAACAATAAATAAAGTCGCCTTCGTTCACCAACAAAAGCAGCCCCAGAGTAGTCACCGCAGGCACACCTCACGTCTCCTAGCTCACGCCTCCGTTGCCGGCTAGTTGCAATCCTCGCTATCGGCCCTTAGCCCTTCAGACACCACCTACTCCCACCTCCGCCAGCGTCCGTCAAGCAGAGCAGTAGCCCACACCACACCGAGCCAGAGGCCAGATCCAGGCATCTCCAACCGTACAACTGCTAGGCAAACCACAATGGCACTTGGTCAAACGTTATGTACTTCCAGTTCCAGCCATCGCTCAATAGATCCGTTTCCTTGACACCGGAACCGAAGGACACACAGCATTAATTCTCTTTTCCCCGCTGCAAATCAAGGTGCGTATGCCTAGTCTTTCCCGGCCCTCTCTATTTTTATTTCCATCCGCTTTCTTTCTTTCTAGTTTTTGTTGGAGATATTATACTCTTCTTCCACTCACAAATATACTCACACAAGGGTGACGGCTTGAGATTGTTGTAGCTGCTTTCAATTTTAGGTGCCCAAGTATATAATATTTCAACATCATCCTTAGATCAAACTTCATCATATTCTCGTCTGCTAGCTACTCATTAATTTGTTAACTCCGTTATCGTTTTAGCTTGCTACTATGCGGCAGATCTGGTACCAAAAGTACTCAGTTGTCATTTAAATGTGATTATTCTAGTACCTATCTACTGTTGCAGTGTTCCCTTTTGAATAATAGTGCCAAGGTTATAGGGGCCTCGGTACTTTTACCATCAAGATTACATTTCCTTTAAAATGAAACACGTAATTTTTTATCTAATTTCGATTTTGTAGATACCGAAGCAGCAAAAATGGCGGTGGTACTGGATGCTTTAGCATCCTACCTCCAAGACATGTTGTTGGAGATGGCTAAAGAAGAGGTACATCTGCTCTTAGGTGTTCCCGATGAGATAAAAAAGATGGTGATGAAGCTTGGGGACCTTAAGAGGTTCCTCGCCGATGCTGACAAGAGGAACATCAGCGATGAGAGTGTGAAATCTTGGGTGAGAGAGCTTAGGAATGCCATGTATGATGCTACCAACATCCTTGATTTGTGCCAGCTCAAGGCGATGGAACGGGGTCGAAGCTGTGATATGGGCTGCTTCAATCCCTTGCTCTTTTGTATGAGGAATCCTCTCCATGCTCATGACATCGGTAATCGCATAAAAAGTCTTAATGAGAGGCTAGATGACATTGAGAAGCGTAGCAAAACCTTCAACTTCACTAACCTTGCATCTTATGAGGACAACACAAAAAAGGTAGAATCCTCCCTTCGCGCTAGGCGTGAGACAACAGGGGA